TCATTATATTCTAGATTCATCGATTGAGGAAGAAAAATGCAAGTTGCTGAGTAGATGACTTTGTTAAATGACTCAAGGTAGAAGATCTATTGCTCTGATTATGTCCCTGAGCATAGAGATTTTGTGTTCCTGGGGTAGGATTAAATCTTTCAGGGAGGAATGTCTCCTCTCTTCACCCCCTCCCCGACCTTCATATTATGCTCAGTCGAAGGAGCTCCAAGTCAAAGGGAACAAGACTCTTTAAAAGAAGACTCAGTCAAAGCCACCTTGTTTGTTTAACTAGTTCTGATCTGCCTTAAAATCATAAATATTCTATCACATGGTTTTTATTAGTTTCTAAATGTAGTCTTCTAAATTTAGTTCTTTAATAAGTCTGGCATGTACTTATATATTGTGAAGTAGAATTCTAACGAAAGTGTTTTTCTTTCTAGGGAGTTAGTTTTGAACATTATCAACTAAGTAATCTCTCATTCCCCCAGTGGAGTTTTGCACCATCTCTATACTAAGTTCCAATATGTGTCTCTGTACTTCCTCAATGATTCGTTCATCTATTATTTCATAGGACCATTTTGTTATAATTATCCAATCCAACTGTAGCATGTCTAATATGGTGAAACAAATTTCTTTCTTCCTTATTATTAAAATTGACTGTGCTATGTTGTCATACGTATTTTAAAAGAAGTTTGTTATAAATCCAGCTCCAATTTTGAGAAGTTATACATTAAATGTATAAATTAATTTGAATATTATATCAAGAAATCTCATATAAGAATAGACAATATCTCCATTTATTCTGATCTTTTTTGTCTTCGCAGTGAGTTTTAACATTTTCTTTATACAGGTCATGTATATTTTTTATTAATCCTTTGATACTTTCCATTTTTTTACTATTTTTTTTTGGAAACTCATTGATTATTGCTAATATCAAAATATACTAGTGAATATTTAAGTTGATTTTATGGCAAATTTGCTATACTCTCATGTTAGTCATATATGTTTTCAATTGGAGATATATATATATATATATATATATACTCAATTGGAACATATATATTTATCATGCATCATATAGTATTTACTTATAATTATCTTTATAATACCTTTGCAAAATCAATTTTGCAATAGGTCTGATTAACATTTCTCAGTAATGCAGCGTTCAGTTGTTCTAACATCATGAAATTTTGTTGTTGTTGTTACTCTCTGCTATTTTCTGCCTTACTTCTAGTATAGCTTTCCTTTTCAAGTTTTTTGATAGTGTATCATTTCTCCTTTTCAAATACTTTGACTTTTTGTATTTAAATACAACTGACCCTTGAACAACATGGGAGTTAGGGGTGCTGACCACTTTTGCAATAAAAAAAATTCAAGTATAACACTTGACTCCCCAGAAATGTGACAATACCCTACTGTTGACTGGAAGCCTTACCAATAACATAAAGCCAATTAACATATATTTGTATGTTACACATAAAAATGAAAGAAAAGGTTAAGGAAATCATAAGAAAGGGAAGATATATATACTATTCATTGAGTGAAAACTGATTATCATAAGGATCTTCATCCCCATCATCTTCAGACTGAGTAAGCTAAAGAGGAGGAAGAAGGGAAGGGATTGATCTTCCTGTCCCAGACGTGGCAGAGGCAAAAGAAGTGAAGAAGGTGAAAGTGGGGAGGCAAATTACACTGGGTATAACTTTTATTACAAAAATCTGCCTATAAGTTGGCCAGTGCAGTTCAAACCTGTATTGTTCAAAGATCAACTGTATTTGTGTATCCTAATACAAGGGTTTTTCAACCTCAACACTATTGACATTTTGAGCTGTGAAATTCTTTACTGTGTATTTCAGATGCTGTCCTACGCTCTGAGGGCATTTAGCAGCATTCCTAAACTTTACCCACTAGTTAACAACAAAAAATCCCTGCTTTAGTCATGACAATCAAGCAGACTGCCAAATGTCTTCTGGAAAGAGATAAAATTCTCCTCTGTTAAGAACCACTGGAAATTGACCAGAGCATATTTAAAAAAATGAGAATTGTTTATTTAAGAAAAACTATTGAACCTCAGATAAGAACTCTCTAATTAGTGATATTTCAGTCCTGGGCTGCTTCCTTAGCCTTTAGCTGCCTGGGTGCTGTAGTTCTATCAGGGTGGAATAAGCTAAGAAAACAAGCAGCTTCACTGTCAGTGAAGCTGACTTGATTTGAAATGGAAGCCAGAAGTTCTCTATTGCCTAGAACTTTGTTTTACAACTTACACTTAGAGTAGTAATATCTGTGGCAAATAAACAGGGAGAGCCAGTGCTACAGCTAGCCTGAATTTGTGAAACTGACTCTAGGGCAAGCAACTAACCAGTAGATTGGCCAGAAATTTAACAGGAGATGTGAGAATGAAATTTTCATATGGGCTGTGACAAACTTCTATATATTCCTGGCTGTCTAAAAATCTATATGGATTTGCAAGGCTGCACAAATATTCAGAAGAGACAAAAGAGGATCCTAGTTATCTACACATCCTTGGTTAAATGAGAGGCTTTGTACATGAGCAGAAGAGACAAAAGGAAGGCTAGATTACAATAAAAGCTGATGCTGATTTTTTTTTTCTAATTTCAAAACATTTTTTTTAAATTGCATTTTAGGTTTTGGGGCACAGGTGAAGAACATGCAAGATTATTGCATAGGTACACACATGGCAGTGTGATTTGCTGCCTTCCTCCACATCACCTATGTCTCATATTTTTCCCCATGCTATCTCTTCCCACCTCCCCACCCCCTGCTGTCCCTCCCCTATTTCCTCCCAACAGACCCCAGTGTGTAGTGCTCCCCTCCCTGTGTCCATGTGTTCTCATTGTTCAACACTTGCCTATGAGTGAGAACATGCGGTGTTTGATTTTCTGCTCTTGTGTCAGTTTTCTGAGAATGATAGTTTCCAGGTTCATCTGTGTCCCTACAAGGGACATGAACTCATCATTTTTGATGGCTGCATAATATTCCATGGTGTATATGTGCCACATTTTCCCTGTCCAGTATATCATCGATGGGCATTTGGGTTGGTTCCAGGTATTCAATGACCTTCTTCACAGAACTGGAAAAAAACACCTTAAACTTCATATGGAACCAAAAGAGAGCCCGCATAGCCAAGTCAATTCTAAGCAAAAAGAACGAAGCGGGAGGCATCACACTACCGGACTTCATACTATACTACAAGGCTACAATAATCAAAACAGTATGATACTGGTACCAAAACAGAGCTATAGACCAACAGAACAGAGGCCTCGGAGGAAACACAACATTTCTACAACTATCTGATCTTTGACAAACCTGACAAAAACAAGCAATGGGGAAAGGATTCCCTGTTTAATAAATGCTGTTGGAAAAACTGGCTAGCCATGTGCAGAAAGCAGAAACTGGACCCCTTCCTGACACCTTACACCAAAACTAACTCCAGATGGATTAAAGACTTAAACATAAGATTTAACACCATAAAAACCCTAGAAGATAATCTAGGCAAAATCATTCAGGACATAGGCGTAGGCAAGGACTTCAAGACCAAAACGTCAAAAGCAATGGCAACAAAAGCCAAAATAGACAAATGGGACCTAATCAAACTCCACAGCTTCTGCACAGCAAAAGAAACAGTCATTAGAGTGAATCGGCAACCAACAGAATGGGAAAAAATTTTTGCAGTTTATCCCATCTGACAAAGGGCTGATATCCAGAATTTACAAAGAACTAAAACAGATTTACAAGAAAAAGACAAACAAGCCCATTTAAAAGTGGGCAAAGGATATGATTTTTAATGATCTAAACTTTGAATGTATTCTTCAATTAACACATGGATCCAATGACAAAGAAAAGAAGACTTACTGGCTCAAAGAGTTTTGAGCACAACTTTATACAATCATTTTGACACAGGGTGATCTCTAGGAAAGCAGTATACACCGTAAGGAAGAATGGTGTATACTGCCCTCCATAAGGAGGGCTTCTCTAGCTCAAGATGCATTACATTTTTTTCAAATAATAATATTCATCACAGTATTAGTAACCATTGTATATTTAGCCTTTATTATCTACCACTCCATGAGATTCTTTAAACGTACAATTATATTTGTACCTCTATGAGAGAGGAAAAAAACCCAGCATGACACAGGTAAATAACCAGATACTGAGATTAAATAATTTGCTTAAAGATATGAATCTTACATTCATGGACACAACCAATGCTTTTCATATTCTATTAGCTTTTTTATAGTGTGTGTGTGTGTGTGTGTGTGTGTGTGTGTGTGTGTGTATGAGAGAGAGAGAGAGAGAGAGAGAGATGTGACATAAAATTAGCATGGTGTGACATACATTAAATGGAATGTAATACTTTATGTATTTTTAGATTTCATAATTATTGGCTAAAAATATATATAATCACTGTTAAAATTATTCCTTTAGGATTAAAATTTTAGTAACTATTTCAACTGCCAAATAATATTTTACTCTGTGTAAGATTCTAAAAGAAATGAGGTGGAAAGTCAGCCTTCTGACTTTAATTAATCATCTGAGAATAGTAGCAGGATTTTTTTTGTAGACTTTTCATAGATATTTAGTAAGTAATGATTTTGTAAAATGAATCTCAAAGTTAGATAAAATTTAATGCAATATTTTCACATTTTCAATAATATGGAGCTTCAGCTTATACTCTAAAACCTGTAAGTATATTAAACGACTCTCAACTTCATTTTAGTAACACAAATAAAACAATTACAAAGAATATATTTTTTCCCTTTGTTTAAAACATGAAAAATACATCAATTGCTGATACTCTAAATTAGCAAGCAATGATAAAAACAATTATTGGTCATTAGAGCAATAATACGTGCCTATTAGAGGAGATGTTTTGCTGGCACAAAGGTCAAATAAATTATATATAAATAGTAAATTTTCATAGTGTAAAAGGTTTCTTACTGTGATTATCCAGTACAGATAAAAAGGTAAAATTTAGTGGAAAATCTTACCACGCCAATGGAAAAGTAATTATTGATGATACTGTAAGGCACTGGGTCTCCCTTCTCATCTTTATCATTAGGTATGACTTCAAACTTCCACCTGTCCAGCATGATTTCTGTGCTGTTTTCAATGTCTTTTAGAATTTTCATCAGATTCTCACCTTCATAACCTAATGGGAAAAAAAAAATCTTGAGAAAAGGAATCTAGCCAAATGAAAAAGCTGTATTTTTATGTTTGAGTGTGTTATACTCTAAAGAGATATTCGATGTATATAAAGTTTGATTCCAGTAACTCCTGTTAAATTTCTGACCAATCTGCTGGTTAGTTGCTTGCCCTAGAGTCAGTTTCACAAATTCAGGCTAGCTGTAACACTGGCTCTCCCTGTTCATTTGCATGTGTAATAGTCTAAAGATAATGATTTTGAAGCACATTCTACTGTCAAATGAAGAATTAATTATAATATTATACTCACATTTCATTCTTAACCTTAATTTGTAACACACACTGTATTTCTCTTTTGTGGTGCAAATTCTCAGTGTATATAACTGCCAAGTGAACATGTCTATTGTATGCCCCACAAAATTTATATCAATAGATTCAAAACTGAATTAATTCTTTGCTTCCATATCTTCCTCCTGTGCAGCCAACTTCACAGAGACCCCATCCTCTACCCAGTTGCTAAAGTCAAAAACATGAATGACATTTTAGACTTTTCACTTTCCGCCACTCTCTTACCTTCGCTTTCCCCTCTCTACAGACATAGAACTAGAACTTTGAATTTAAGTAAAAGGTCCTACTCTTTGTAACGTTTAAAATTTTGTTTCTTATTCTGTCTATTCAGGGTGCCCCTTTCCTTTCTGACTGGCTTGCATCTATTTCCTTGGCATAGTTCTATATTTGCTAACACTTCTGTCCAGTGCTGCTGCTTATGCCTGTAGTCCCAGCTACTCAGGAGGCTGAGGTGGGAGGACTACTTGAGGCTAGGAATTCCAGGCTGCAGTGAGCTACGATTGCACCACTGTATTCCAGTCTGGGTGATACCGTAATATTCTATCTTTGAAATAACAAAATTAAATAAAAGGAATAAATGTGCTAACACTTCTTTCTGGAAAGCACCCTTTCAAAATAATGGCTTAGATGCCCCTCACACAGTTCCCTACTCACAGTTTCAAAACTAGCCCTATCTCAGAACTGGTACACCACATTATCATTACTTGTGTTTTTCTCACTACGGGTTCCTCTTAACCCGGCCTGCCATACAGTAAATGCCGAACAAATCAATTGCTTAATGAATCTATGATAGATGGTCAACATGGCCTAAAAATAAAAGTCATCCCAATATTACGTTTTCAATATTCAATTTGTCAGTAGGTATATAACATGGTTATCACTGCAGCCTAACCCTGAAAGAGTTTCGTTTTTCATTACTTAATCTTCCTCAACATTAGTTTCCTTCCCTATAAAAATATTACATTTATTTTGAAGATGAAGCAAGATAATGCATAAAAGGTCTTAGTACATGAGCCTAAAACAGAGAATAGAAAGTTCTTAATAATCTTGTACTACTGATGATGATACCATCAGAATCTGAAATATTGTACTAAGGTAAATAATCTCTCTCTTTACCCATACAACAGCGCACACACAGTCCTAAAATGATATTTTAAGTTGGAACAATATTTTCAGGTTTTTTTTCGTTCATTATTTAATTGGTGAACAAGGAAATGCCAGAGTTGAGTCCTCATTAGAGCTATTAGCATACATATCACTGAATAAACTCATTGGATGAAAAGAAAACAGGCAGTCTCATATGCCAAAATTCCCTAAAGAGGAATACATTTCACTTAAGGTGTAATTGTTCAATTAACTATTAGAAAGCAAAGGCCACGAGGAACTAGAAATACTCTTTTGGAGTTCATCATCACTTCTTACCTTACACAGCTTTAAAAAGTAATTATGTGCTATTTAATAAAGTGTATGATAAGTAATTATTACATAGAATCATGGAAAATATTAAATATTTCAAAAGGTATATATCTTAGTGTAATTGGAAGCTATAAATATTAATATTATGCATATAACGGTACTCAGTGGCAAAACATTGAATGATTTAAACTGCAAGACAATAATAATTGTATTTAATAACATTTCATGTTTCTTAATAGCACTACCTTATTCTAAATGTTTAATTAATTCCTAATTGTTAATTTCTTTTAAGAAGAATAAGAGCTCCCAAATAAATTATATGCATGTATATTTTGTTTTACCTACTGAATTAAATAAAAAACACTTAGGTATGTTCATCTATTTTCCAAATTCTGCTTTCATTTCAAAATATGGTTGATAGTCTTTAGTAATAAATTATTTTGCATATAAGAGTAAATATTATAATATAGGAGTATTGTCTGTGTGTATGCATATACATACATAGGATGAGCAGAAATACAAGCAAGTAATAATGCTTTAAAAAAATGTTGAATTTGTTCTCAGTCATGTCTCAGGTTAATAGCAGCACCATTCAACATAACACTAGAACAATGTAGGAACATCAAGTAACCAGGTGAGAACATGATAGGAATGAATGTAATGAAAATCAGTTACCACAGCTAGATTATAATAGGGTCACTCAGCTTAAAATCTTTACCACTGGATATGTGTACAGGGATTTTTATGACTAAACATGAAAATCTGGTTTAAATCTGTCTTCCAGTCAGGCAAAGGTAGAAAGAGGCAATAAGTAAATCTTGAGAATTACAACATCTGCAATTCAGAAGTGATTCACATAGATGAACTCCAGACTGTAGTGCCCCATTTAACAAATACCTTTTCCCTACTTCTTGTATGTATCTATGCCAAGTTTGTTAAACAATGATATGTAGCTATTAATAGGATACCTGAACCCAAGAAGATCATGATTTTATGAAAGATAAAGCAAACCCACTAAACATGCCAGCAAAAGATTTTTTTCTAAAATGAATAATGCTATTTTACTTTCATTGTTTTGACTTAAAGCTTGTAATCACTCCAGGGCTAAGAAACAGAATGAAAACATGATTAATAATGATTTTATCTTTAGTGAAATGTTATTATAGTGACTGGCTCTAAATAGTCATAGAAATTGTTGCAAACAAAAATCACATAAAGAAGTGCAACAACAAATCTATAAAAAAGTATGCTCCATTTACAACTATCACTTACCTCCTTAATCTATGCGAACAAGATTTTCCTTGCAATAATTAAATTTTTGTTAGAGAGACTAATTTTGCCAGAAATTTACAAACAGAATGCTAATCAAGCATTTTTTCCAACACCCTAGGATATCCTACATTCTTACAGTGTCATGTTTTCCAAAATATATTCTTGTAAAAAAGAGGCTTCAAGTCAATAGATTCCCTGGACCTTAAGTGAACTAAATGATTACTGGTTGAATGAAGCATTTTCTTCTACAAAATTAAGCATAACAATAATTACTGCAACTGCATAAAGTACTTAGCACAAACATCGATACGGTTTGGCTCTGTGTCTCCACTCAAATGTCATTTTTAATTGTAATCCCGATAATCCCCATGTGTCAAGGGAGGGACCTGGTGGGAGGTGATAGGATCATGAGGGTGGCTTCTACCATGCACTTCTGGTGGTAGTGAGTTCTCATTAGATCTGATAGTTTTATAAGGGTACTTCCCCTTTGCTCATTTGGTTCTCTAATGTGCCACCATGTAAAATGTGTCTTTGCTTTTCCTTCGCCTTGCTCCATGATTGTAACTTTCCCGAGTCCTCCACAGCCATTTGGAAGTGTGAGTCAATTAAGTCTTCTTTAATAAATTACCCAGTCTTGGCTATGTTTTTATAGCAGTGTGAGAACAAACTAACACAAACACTGTGCAAACAATTTATTAGTTTAGCACAGGAACCTACAAGATAGGCACGATTATTTTCTTCAAATTCTGATAAGGAATCTACAGCACACAGTTTTTAAGTAACTTGCTCAAAGTTACACACATGGCAAGAGACAATTTCACTGAAAAGCCTATTTCTTTGTTAATAATCTCTAGCAAAGGGCTTCTCCATTTCCCTAGTTGCTCAACTTGGGCATCTTGTTACCTTGCTTTCCCTAAAATTCCTACCCATTCCACTGATAAGTACAATTAATCTAAGCCTGAAAATGTACCTCCAGTTTGTCTACTCACCTGATTTACATCATGTAAGCTCTAGTCTACTCATTTTATTATGTAATTACAACAACTATAACAGAAGTTCTCATTTGGAGAACTATAGTTCTGCATGTTTTTTACATTTTCTGACCAGTTTATTTTCTATTCCCAAATTAATCCATTTTTGAAAAAGTGTCAGTGTGTTACTCTACTTCTGAGACTTTCAAAGCTTCACTTTCCATGTCAAAATCAATCATATAAAACTATTACAATGACAAACAAGTTCCTGCATTATCTGGCTCCCAATTACCTTTCCAAAATCATAGTACTCACCACCCCTAACTGCCCACCACTGCCCTGCTGCTTCAGCAACCCCACCAGCACTCCTTCCTTCAGTCCTTGAAACACAGGGAGCTATTTTTCCTCCTTCTGCTATTTTAGATCCAGCTTAAATGTTACCTCCCCAGAGAGACCTTCTTGACCATCTAGCTAGACAGTTCATCTCTATTATTCATTCTTCTGATTCCTGATTCCTTGATTAAATTTTGTAATTACGTATTTCATTAACATTTGTCTATTATAGTCAATAAAAATGTAATCTCCAAAAAGATAGAAGCCATTTATTTACTTCCTCACCGTTATTTAGCACCTAGAACAGTGCCAATACATATCATATACTCACAGGGAATTCATCACTAATAGATACTTTGATACAAATGATAGTCCTTGCCTTCGATCATCGTTAGTACTTTGTATGTGTTTTCACAAGAACCATTAGAGTATGTCAAATATGGACTTCTTCATCAAATTTGAGATTTAGGCCATTTGTTAATTTGGAAGCCAAAATAAAATTACTTATTTTCAAATATATCAAATATATGTTACAGAAGAAAAATACACATATTTTCTTTATTTTTAATCAATGCACTTGTATGAACACTGGCAAATACAAGTATCTTATCAGCAATGGTGAGGTCTTCATTCATTTCTTTAGATTTCATGAACTCTCATACAACTCATGAAAATACTCCTAAAGTAAATTCTTAATGAAAATCCCAAATAGAATATATACTAAATTCTTACCTTAGTCTAGCATGTACACAGTTTAGAGCTAGCTGGCCAGATATTCATGGAATTGTTCTCCAATTTCGCTGTAAATCAGAGTTACTTAGAGAGTTTATTTAAAAAAAACTATCTGCTCAGGTCCCAACTCCAGATATTTCCATTCAGTGTGTTTGGGGTGGGGTCAGGCCACTGTATTTTTAACAAGCTCCCCAGGGACTCTGTTCACTCTGTCTTAGTAGACACTTTTTCAGCTTTTCTAAGTGAGCTTTGATGTTAAATATATTTAGCATTCAATTCCTGCTTCTTTATCAAAGTCTGGTGGTGTTTAGTGATCTTATCTGGTGGTGTTCAGTGATCTTTAGATAAATATAGCCTATCGGTGATTCTGCAAAATGTTTTAAGACCTCCTTCTGAAATATTCTCTTTATTTACCCTGCTCCATACACACTATTTCAGTTTCGGTTTCTTGAATACATCAAGTGCCTTGTCACCTCTGGGCCTTTGAACTCCATGTTCCCTCCGCTTACGAAGTTCACACCCAGGTTTACATGCCTGAGTCATTTTCTAGCTGTGAGTTTTCTCTTCTACATTATCTCCTCAGTGAGGCCTTGCCTTCTAATGTTCATCAGTTTACTTGTTAGCGTTAAGTCTTAGATATCGTTTTATATGCCACTAGAAGTTAAGGACCTTTTGTTTCTCTATTGTCAACTGTGTATCCAAAGTGCAGAATACAGCTGGATAGCACAGAGTGAGTCTCAATATTTAAGGGTTATTTAACGTAGCCACTCCTGGGAAACTAATTCATTAGCCTTTCATTTTTCCTTTGTTTGTGATTTTGCCACACAATTTATAAATGAAAAATACAAACATTACCTTAATGTACATCCATGTTTATGTTATTTTCTAAATGAAAACATCAAAAACAAAAACCAGAGATGTTTGGAAACTTGCCCTCCTGAAGTTTAAGTCTATAATTAATATGATATTAAAGCCCAATACCCATGGTCTCTTTGCCCTCTACTTGTTCTTCTATCCTAGACTGTTATTCGAAATCACATACTACATATACTGCATCAGTTATATTCATGAAATCATATGGTGTTTGTTTCTGTTCCTGTTATTTTGCAAGGAAAAGGGGTGTTGTGCACTGTTTCTGATTTTGTTGTTGCAGCTGCTTTACCTCCTCCCCATCGCAGGCATCTTGCTAGATCATTGCCAGTCCCAAGAGGCAGGATCGCAACTGGAGGATGCTTGCCTACGTTGGCCTTTTCTGCAGAATAAAAAAATACAAATAAATAAGATTTTGAAAGCAGATAAAATAATAGTTAAAAGAAAGATAGCCTGATGACATGAAATGAAGGAATTCCACCAGGTACTTATAAACAAAACAAAATTTTAGATATATTCAATTATGAATTATGAATAATTTGTACACATTTGCAGTCACTGACAAAACACAAATTCTATTTTTCACAGTATCATGGATTGTCAAAACTCAAGCAAGAGGAAAGCTTTTTAAATGTCTTAGCTAACAACTGTGGCATGTCTTATCTCCATTACAGTCCTCAGAGATATTATTATATACAGCATAAGATTACAATACAGAGACACAACTAGGGACGATGGGTACGTCCTATATAAAGTCCTTTTGCAACATCAACGCCAGGTACATTTTACTTGAAGAAATGAAATATTTGAAAACTGTTGAATTCTAAAAGTGAGTAAATTGCTAACAATGTCCTTGACTTTTTCCCGCCTACGGTGCTCCTTTGTGTCAGAGCAAACGGAACACAACTTTAACAGCTGGAACACACCAAGATCAGCAGGTTTTCCATGAGATTAATCTTTACATCACATAATGCTTTGGGTTCAGAGTAGTAAAGATCTCTGCTGCTGACATCCCATATGCTTTGATTTGAATCATCATATGCCTTGAATCAATCTCACAAATGTATATCACTTTCTTTTATTTTTTCTTCCTTTTTAGCCCCTCAAAGTCAGAGTATGTATGTGTGTAGGCATATCAGGGCTAGGTAATTTAGCAATATGTCACAATGAAATAGCTGACATTAAGATTTTGAGGGCTAAAACAAACTAAGAATTCCTGCTATTTTCCCTCTAAAATCCTTACAAATCTTCAGAGACTTTTCCAACTAACTCATTAACTTTTTCAATTCTTGAACTCTGGTTGTCTTCTAAGATAGAACATATATATATATATATATATATATATATATATATATATATAATTTACACTGTTTAACAGAAGGCCAGATCAGAATTTTCACTGTTTCTTTTTAAATCAAATATTAGTAGATTAAAGCTGTTAGATCTTTATCAAAAATGTTGCCGACATGTATTTATTTTTAATGTGAATATTTTTAGTGTATGCAAAGACAGAATGTTATCTGCCTTGACTAAATAGATGTCTGTTTCAATTTATACAGAAGGTAAAACTTCTTTGAATCAATCTGTTTTATGAAAGGGCCTGTTTTAAACACAGAATTGGTCAATGCAGTAACTGAAATGAGAGTAACCAGTTCCAACAACTGACTAGATTGAAAAATCAAATGATTTTCCTGAACTTATAGTTTTTATTGTGCTGCATACTTAAGTTATATGCTTGATCCTGTTCCTATAATGTTTGCTCATAAAAATCAAGCTCTTTCAATTTAAATAAAGGTAACATAGAATAAGATTAAACCGTGGGTTCTAACCCCAACTGTCTCAGTTCACAGCTGTAAGACTTTGTTTTAGTTATTTACATTTTCCAAGTTTTAGATTCCCTATCTCTACATGGGATTATTAATACTATGTCATAGAGTTTTGAAGAATAAACAAGATAATTTAGGTAAAAATCTCAGCACAGGACTATCAGATAGTACATGATGAATAAAAATTAGCTATCATAATGACAATGATGGATGATAACGATATGAATATGCACAGAGGGTAAGGTTTTGAGGCTCCATGTTTAAATAAAGTAAGCACATCCGTTTGGCACAGGCTTTATCACAAACACTAAGACTACACATTTGGCTCCTTGTCTGGGGTATGCAAACAACAGGATTTCCTAGAGTCCCATTTGAAAACAACTCTGAAAGTCTGGTAAATACTGTAAAAAATGGATTAGAAAGGAAAGACTTCCAGATACTTGTAAATTATTTTGTCTGTTAAATTTTTGAACTATAGAAGAATTACTTAAATCCATAAACAGCATGCAACATTTCAGATGTCCAATTATATAACTGTTTCCAAAGATAATGATGCTAGCCACAGATACACAGATAAAACAGAACTTAAAGCCATTGCCCTCACCCCAGCCATATTAAGTATGTGTCTGCATTACCTATGCAATCCAAAACCCAGCCCACGGTTCCATCTCCACCACAGGCTAACACTCTGAAGTCAGGAACATCGCGGAAAAAGTTTAACCTGAAAAATAAGCATGTTATGGCACATGATGAATAGTTTAAAAAGAAGATATTTTCAGTTTTGTATCATTAGCATTTAACCCAATGAAATACATTTTTATTTTATAAAAACTGTAAAATATCTCAATGATACCTTATCCATTCATCCTATTTTGTAATTATATATTCCAAATTCCATAATTTAAAAATATTTTTTAATTATATATTCTAGATTCCATAATGAATATACTCTATTTTTCTTCAATGAACTCTAAAATTTTAAAAGTAAAATTAGTGAATTAAAACTTTCATTAAGATATTCTCCCAGATGTGATTTGCAGTTCACATAGTCCTGAATGAAATATATTACATTATTTCATTTAATACATTTCATCAATCAAAAATTATCTTTTGAGTGAATATATAAACGTGACAGTTACGTCAGCAAATACGTCTTTAACAATTTCTACTTTCTCCATTACTGGGAGAAATTGATCAGACTGCAACTGGGGTTCTAGACAATTGTTTCAGTATTTCCTTTTGACTTGGACTCTCCAAATAGGAGTCAGGCTTGACCTTGTATTTTGACTGGGTCGACAGGGTTTTCCACCCAGGAACACTCCAGCCTAATTGCTGGGTCAGCTGCCATAAATACCCACTGCTTCTGCTGTTACTGCATGCAGCGTGCTTAATAATGTAACCTACCTTCAAAAAAGTCACAAAGGCAGGTAATGCAACCAGCTATACAGTCTTAGCCTATTTTATTACAATAAAAATATTAAAACAGGACAGAAATTTTGGTATGTGCCTCTTCACCCTCCTTGTCCCAATGATAACTACTGATAGTGATATAATATGCAACTGTCCAGGGAATTTTTTTACATACTTATATACAGAAATGTTCATACAAGAATCCTTAATGCACACATAATTTCAACATGAATAAAACTCTGCTATACATATTGTCATTAACTTGCGTGGGTTTTTTTAACTTCAAATATGTATAAGGGGACTTCGTGTATCAGTATATAACATATGCATATGTTATGTGCTGCATTCTGTAAGATTAATTTTAACCACTGCATCACGTTTTATAATAAGTACATGTACTACAATTTAAAATAAATTACTTCTTTTTATGCATTTTAAGCTATTTCTAGTGTCTCATTGTTACAAAAAGGTATTGTATTTAATATTATTTGAAGAACATTTGTGTAAACATGTGCATGTGTTTTGAAGGCTATTCTAGAGAAAAAATATTCTATTACAGCATTATATCCCTCTGAATGGCTCCCACTGTGAAATATGCAAGTGTTCATTTCCTTGCAACCAAAGCACACTACATATAAACAACTTTATAATATTTCTTTAACAATGAGTGAAAACCGGTATCTTTTTCTTTGTTGTAAAATCACACTTCCCTGTTTACTAGTGAGTTGAACATATTTTTATACATTTCCTAGAGTTGTGTAACCTCTCTTCTGAAAACATTATCAAAAGATGGGCCTTTCTTTCTATTGAGTTGTTTTTTAATGATACTTTACAAACTCTTTGCATATTACAACAATCTTTGCCTTTACATTTGCATCATTTAAAAAAGTTTTGTTAAGGCAATACCAACATCACATAAATATAAAATATATATACAAATTACTAAACTCCATCATCTGATGAAAATATTCATGGATATTTAGAACAGGAAACTTTCATGCAGTTTCTCATTTATTATATAGTGGATATTTAACCTTTGTGAGACTTGTTGCAAATATCTTGTTCAGTTCTAATACTGATTGTTTTTCTTATACCAATATAGGTACAATAGAATAAACACATATGTACCAGTTGCCCATTCCAGGACTTACATATTCCTCTGTTTTCTTTTCCTATACCACTGTTCTTTCTAACTCACAAAGGTGAGCCCTATTCTAAATACTGAGTTACCGCAGTGTCTGACAATCAACATGTCTTTCTACTTTTCCCACTTAGCATTGTTACTCAGATTCATTCATGTTATAGCTGAAGATTTTTCCACGTGTAGCTAAATTCTTTCTACTTCTACGTTAAATTCCATTTATGTAAATATGCCTTTTTAAACCCATGTCAATGGGCATTTCAGCTGGTTAGCTTTACATTTTTGCAAAAAGTACATTCCTGTACAGGCATACCTCATTTTATTGCTCTTCACTTTGTTGAGCTTAGCAGGTACCACATTTTTTACAACTTGAATGTTTGTGGCAACAGTGTTTCTAGCGAGTCTATCAGTGCCATTTTTTCCCACAGCACGTGCTCACTCGGTGTCTGCGTCACATTTTTGTGATTAACACAGTATTTCAAACTTTTTCACTATTATTATGTCTGTTATGGTGTCTGTGACCTACCTTCAAAGTTATTAATTGTTTTGAGGTGCCATGAACGATGCCAGGGTAAGACAGATAACTTAATTGCTAATGTTGTGCGTGTTCTGAGTGCTCCACCCACCAGCGATTCTCCTGTCTCTCTTTCTCTCCTCAGGTCTCTCAATTCCCTGAGACACAACAATATTGAAATTAGGCTAATTAACAACCTTACAATGTCCTCTAGGTATTCAAGTGAAAGGAAGAGTTGCATTTCTCTTTCAATCAAAAGCTAGAAATTAAGTTGAGTGAGGAAAGCATGTAAAAAGCACAGAGAGGCCAAAAGCTAGCCCTTTCATGCCAGGAAGCCAAGTAGTAAATGCAAAGGAAAAGTTCTTAAAGGACATTAAAAGTGCTACTCCAGTAACACACAAACAAGAAAGTGAAACAGCCTTATTGCTGATATGGAAAAGGTTTTAGTGGTCTAGAGAGAAGATCAAACCAGTCACGGCATTCTATTAAGCCAAAGCCAGATCTACAGTATGCCCCTAACTCTGTTCAAGTCTACAAAGGCTGAGACGTGATGAAGCTGCAAAACAGTTTGATGCAAACAGATGTTGGTTCACGAAACTTCAGGAAAGAAGAGCAAAAACAGCCAATGCTGAAGAAGAAGTGGCAGCAAATTATCTAGAAGATCTAGCTACAATTATTGATAAAGGTGGTACACCAAACAACGGTTTTTCATTGTAGACAAAATAGCTTTCTAATGGAGGAAGATGCCACCTAGGATGTTGATAGCTACAAAAAAGCAGTTAATGCCTGGCCTCAAAGCTTCAAAGAACAAGCCGAGCCTCCTGTTTGAGGCTAATGAAGCTGATGACTTGAAGCTGAAGTCAATGATCTTTTGCCATTCTGAAAATCCTAGGCCCCTTAAGGATTATGCTAACCCTACTCCACCTGGGCTCTATAAATAGTAGAGCAAAGCCTGAAGGACAGCACATTTCTTTACAGCATGGTTTACTGAATATTTCAAGTTCACAATTGAGACATACTTCTCAGAAAAAAAAAAAAAAAAAAAAAGACCCCTTTCAAATACTATTTTCATCGACTATGTACCTGGCGACTCAAGATCTCTGGTGGAGAGGTGCATAAAGATAAATGTTGTTTTCACGCCTGCAAACACAACATACATTCTGCAGCTCATGGATCAGAGTAATTCAACTTTCATGTCTTATTTAAGAGACACATTTCAACTTTCATGTTTCATTTAATAAATAAATTTCATATGGCTATAGCTGCCATAAACAGTGATTATTTTGGGGGATCTGGGCAAAGTAAATTGACAACCTCTGAAAAGGATTTAATCATCTAGGTTATTAAGGATTTAATCATCTAGAACATTCATAGGTCATGGAAAGAGGTCAAAATATCAGCATTAATAAGAGTTTGGATGAAGTTGATGCCAAGCCTCATGGATGACTTTAAGGGGTTGAAGACTTCAGTAAAGAAGTCACTGCAGACGTGATAAAAATAGCAAGAACTAGAATTATAACTGGAGCTGGAATGTGACCAAATTGCTGCAATCTCATGATAGAATTTGAAAGGATAAGAAATTGACTTTTAGAGATAAGCAAAAAATGGAGTTTCTTGAGACGAAATCTACTCCTAGTAAAGATGCTATGGACTATGGACACTGAAATGGTAACAAAGGATTTAGATTATCACAAAAATTTAGTTGATAAGACAACAGTAGGATTTAAGACTGACTCAAATTCTGAGGGAAGTTCTACTGTGGTTAAGATGCTAGCAAATAGCATCACATGCTACAGAGAAATCTTTCATAAAAGTAAGAGTGCATCAGTGGGTCAAACTTCATTGTTGTCTTATTTTAAGAAACTACTAGAGTTACCTCAGCCTTCAGCAACCACCACTCTAATCATTTAGTTCCCATTAAAATCAAGGCTAGACCCTCTACCAGAGAAAACATTATGATTCTCTGGAGGTTCAGATAATTGTTACTATTTTTTTTAGCAATGAATTATTTTTAAATTAAGGTATATACATGTCTTAAACCATAATGCTATTGCACATTTAATAGACAACAGTATAAACATAACTTTTATATGTACTAGGAAACAAAAAAAATTGTGTGACTCACTTTATTGTGATATTCATTTTATTGTGGTGGTGTGGAACCAAACCCACAATATCTCCAAGGTATGCCTGTACTTATTTCCTAGCACTTAAGAAAAAAAAAAAAAAGATTCCTTTCAAAATATTATAAAGGGCAGTGGCTACTTTAGAGTAATGTATATTAATACACAACTTTACCAGATAATGTTAATTTCATTCCCCAAAAAGTTGCACCAATATACAATAAATGTACTCTATGGAGTCCATTCTAACATGTGTCACAGTTTTTCATTTTATTTCTTATTTTGATGAAGTACCTACTTATCTTTTCTGTTCCTATTATCTATTCCTTTTTACCTTGTTGATTTGTAAAAAAATTTTTACATGTCTTTTAGTCCTTTTCAGATAATTTATTTTCACATATTTTCTACAAATGTAGTATTTTTTCTTTTACTTTCATTAATGGTTATTTTAATGAATAAGAACTTAGTTTTAATAGTCAAATTCGTCATGCCTTTGATAAGTGGTTAGTACCTTAGCCAGTCTTGTGTAAGAC